GTGGAAACCTCCAGCCCCGTAGGAGGAGGACCTGTGTTCTGTCTGTCTCACCGTGGAAACCTCCAGCCCTGTAGGACAAGCTGTGTTCTGTCTGTCTCACTGTGGAAACCTCCAGCCCTGTAGGAGGAGGACCTGTGTTCTGTCTGTCTCACCGTGGAAACCTCCAGCCCTGTAGGAAGAGCTGTGTTCTGTCTGTCTCACCGTGGAAACCTCCAGCCCTGTAGGAGGAGGACCTGTGTTCTGTCTGTCTCACCGTGGAAACCTCCAGCCCTGTAGGAGGAGGACCTGTGTTCTGTCTGTCTCACCGTGGAAACCTCCAGCCCTGTAGGAAGAGCTGTGTTCTGTCTGTCTCACCGTGGAAACCTCCAGCCCTGTAGGAGGAGGACCTGTGTTCTGTCTGTCTCACTGTGGAAACCTCCAGCCCTGTAGGAGGAGGACCTGTGTTCTGTCTGTCTCACCGTGGAAACCTCCAGCCCTGTAGGAGGAGGACCTGTGTTCTGTCTGTCTCACTGTGGAAACCTCCAGCCCTGTAGGAGGAGGACCTGTGTTCTGTCTGTCTCACTGTGGAAACCTCCAGCCCTGTAGGAGGAGGACCTGTGTTCTGTCTGTCTCACCGTGGAAACCTCCAGCCCTGTAGGAGGAGGACCTGTGTTCTGTCTGTCTCACTGTGGAAACCTCCAGCCCTGTAGGAAGAGCTGTGTTCTGTCTGTCTCACCGTGGAAACCTCCAGCCCTGTAGGAAGAGCTGTGTTCTGTCTGTCTCACTGTGGAAACCTCCAGCCCTGTAGGAGGAGGACCTGTGTTCTGTCTGTCTCACCGTGGAAACCTCCAGCCCTGTAGGAAGAGCTGTGTTCTGTCTGTCTCACCGTGGAAACCTCCAGCCCTGTAGGAGGAGGACCTGTGTTCTGTCTGTCTCACCGTGGAAACCTCCAGCCCTGTAGGAGGAGGACCTGTGTTCTGTCTGTCTCACCGTGGAAACCTCCAGCCCTGTAGGAGGAGGACCTGTGTTCTGTCTGTCTCACCGTGGAAACCTCCAGCCCTGTAGGACAAGCTGTGTTCTGTCTGTCTCACTGTGGAAACCTCCAGCCCTGTAGGACGAGCTGTGTTCTGTCTGTCTCACCGTGGAAACCTCCAGCCCTGTAGGAGGAGGACCTGTGTTCTGTCTGTCTCACCGTGGAAACCTCCAGCCCTGTAGGAGGAGGACCTGTGTTCTGTCTGTCTCACCGTGGAAACCTCCAGCCCTGTAGGAGGAGGACCTGTGTTCTGTCTGTCTCACTGTGGAAACCTCCAGCCCTGTAGGAAGAGCTGTGTTCTGTCTGTCTCACTGTGGAAACCTCCAGCCCTGTAGGAAGAGCTGTGTTCTGTCTGTCTCACCGTGGAAACCTCCAGCCCTGTAGGAGGAGGACCTGTGTTCTGTCTGTCTCACCGTGGAAACCTCCAGCCCTGTAGGAAGAGCTGTGTTCTGTCTGTCTCACCGTGGAAACCTCCAGCCCTGTAGGAGGAGGACCTGTGTTCTGTCTGTCTCACTGTGGAAACCTCCAGCCCTGTAGGAAGAGCTGTGTTCTGTCTGTCTCACTGTGGAAACCTCCAGCCCTGTAGGAAGAGCTGTGTTCTGTCTGTCTCACCGTGGAAACCTCCAGCCCTGTAGGAAGAGCTGTGTTCTGTCTGTCTCACCGTGGAAACCTCCAGCCCTGTAGGAGGAGGACCTGTGTTCTGTCTGTCTCACCGTGGAAACCTCCAGCCCTAGCTGATGTGTGTGCCTTTTTACTTTCACAAATATGAGCTCAGGTCAGTTTTCCTCAGATCAGTTTAGCATTTCTAGGGTTGATCGTAGTATTGTTTATAGGAAACAGCCCTATAAACAATAGAATGGAATATGAGGCGTTACTGTGGATCCTGTGTTTCTGCCAAGGCAGCAGGGTAGAGTACCTCAGAGCAGCCCAGGGGGGCAACATGGAGTCAAAGTGCTGAGTCAACCTGCTGCTACATACCGTCATCACATAGATATACACTGGCTTAACCACACACACACACACACACACACACACACACACACACACACACACACACACACACACACACACACACAGAACAAGCTGCTTCACACTACTGTGCTATCTCATCATAAACACAGGTAAATTACACTCCATAGCCACAACAAAGTTATCTCTATCTCAACATTGTTTAAAGGTCATAGGTCAATGGCACTGTTCTGGGATGAATGGTTTCTTAGATGGTTTTATTTAGAAGGGAGAGGGGTGTGTATAGCTATGATACAGACTGAGGTCAGACTCCAGATTCCAGACTACAACATCTAAAGCGTGACTTGCACCCAGTACAGATGTGTGTCCTGTATGGGTCATGTATGTGTCCTGTATGTGTATGTAATGGGTATGGGTAGTATTGCTTTACGTTTGAAAATCTGGAATATATTTATATAGAAAATATCCAAAACAATAAAAACAGTTGACTTTTACGAAACCACTTATTTCCCAACAAGCTACCCTCCCTCCCAAGCCATCACCCTTTGGCACGATAATATTTTTAATGTATTTTTGTATTTATAACGTATAATGATTTTTTTGTAATAGAATTACTAGACATTTGAATAGTAACATACACTCTCACATTCAATCTAACACTTTTTTCTTCTCCATATTGGTACTGTATATGCCATAACATAATCATCATTTTAAAAACATTTATTTTTGTAAATCTATTTTTTCCTTTTTTTACCTTTTTGATATGTAAATGGCATAATTTAGGATCTGTCATTGCATGCCCTTGTTATGTACAGAACCACTATGTCTGAGAGAAGCTGTTCTCTCTACTGGCCACTGGGTAAGTGGGCAGTGGAACCATGTCACAGGCTTACGTTTATTGTCATGAATCTTGCCCTGGAGGCAGAACTGAGCGATTTCCGCTAGAAGGGTCAGTCAAAATTGGCAATATTGTAAAAGTTAATGAAAACAAAAAATAGCTTTTTGGTCATAATTTAATGTTAGGGTTATGCATTAGGGTTAGCAGTGTTGTTAAGGTTAGGGTTAAGGTTAGGGTTAGGTTTGAAATCAGATTTTATGACTTTGTGGCTGGCAGGTTAGTGTTTTTCGTCATGAATCTTGTTCTGGATTTTAAACCTGACTTTGCAGCTGGCATACCTAAGAGGAAATCACTCAGTTCTGCCTCCAGGACAAGAAACATGACAATAAACGTCAACCTGCTTGTGGCTATGCCAGCTAGTGACCACTCTGCAGAGCTGCCTCCATAGCAAGACTAATGACAATAAATGCCAACCTGCTACAAAGTCACATACATTCTTATGCCAGAAATGGATCCGTTTTTGCTAAATTCCTCGGGATCTCGTAAATATTCTCATTCTGGCCCTCCTAGCTCTAGGGCCAGAGGGGATACACAGTGTGCTAAAACATATACAAGCCCTTCTGACACCGGGAAGCAAGCATGACTTTGACCCCCTGTCTAAGACTGACATCAGTCTCAGACAGGGGGCTGGGTGTCTAGTTCACTTTAGTTAGATTGATTGATTTTACTACTTGAATCAGGACAGTTTTCTAGCACGTTACCGACTACTGTATAACTGTTCAATACTGGTTAGTTTAGTAGAATGCCTCCTCAGAATCACAGACACAGAGGTGTGGAAAGTTTGGTCCCAACGCTTCAGGAATCATTTAGAAAATATTTTACATTCAAACTTCTGAAGTAATCAATAGTCCAAAAGACCTCAAAGAGCAGAGAAACACTGACGAGAGAGAGAGGGAGAGGGAGAGAGGGGGAGAGGGAGAGGGAGGCAGAGGGAGAGAGAGGGAGAGGGAGAGAGGGGGAGAGGGAGAGGGAGGCAGAGGGAGAGAGAGGGAGAGGGAGAGGGAGAGAGAGGGAGAGGGAGAGGGAGAGAGGGGGAGGGGGAGAAGGGAGAGAGGGGAGAGGAGAGAGAGAGGGGGAGAGGGAGAGAGAGAGGGAGAGGGAGAGAGGGGGAGAGGGAGAGAGGGGGAGAGGGAGAGGGAGAGAGTATTTCATACTTTACATGGTATGTATAAACAGAAGCATCTGATATTTAGATACCATCCAAGATCTTTTTGTATTTACACTTTTCCCTACAACAGCCGATATGCACGTGTTTATGTGTGTGGGCGTGTGTTTGTGTGTTTATGTGTGTGTGTGTGTGTTTATGTGTCTGTGTTTATGTGTGTGTGCGTGTGTTTATGTGTGTGTGTGTGTGTTTATGTGTGTGTGTGTGTGTTTATGTGTGTGTGTTTATGTGTGTGTGTGTGTGTTGTGTTAATGTGTTGTGTGTGTTAGTGAATGTGTTTTGTGTGTGTGTGTGTGGTGTGTGTGTTGTGTGTGTGTGTGTGTGTGTGTGTGTGTGTGTGTGTGTGTGTGTGTGTGTGTGTGTGTGTGTGTGTGTGTGTGTGTGTGTTGGCGTGTCAGTGGCCATAGCTGCTCTGCTCAGCCCTTGTGGTTATTCCATGTGTGTTCATGGCAGCATGTGTCTATGCAGGTGCCCCCTCCCTCGATGCCGCCCACAATAAACATCTCTAATTAGTTGACAGCCATTTTAGTTTAAGGCCACTACCAAAACAATGACCAAACACACCTCTAAGGAGAGACTTCTGGCCATACGTTTAAACACCAGAACGCTAGAAGTATTTTTGTAGTCCTTGTTCTCACTCTGGATGCCAAAAAAAACTACAATCCCCACGTTATACCTCGCCTCGCTGCTCACTGAACACATGTAAACACAAACACTGCAGGTCACCGTCTAATGCCATCACACGATGATGTGTCCTGTTCCTGTCCCTCCTAGCCAGTAAAGGGCTTTCACCTCTCTGAGGGACTGGTCAATCTCCTCTCGTCCTCTTCTCCTCTCGTCCTCCACAAGGCAGCCATCACCATTATCTCCCCCAAGAGACTGTTCTTTCTCAGGTCCCTCTCCTTCTTCGTCCTTCCACTCTCCTCCTCTTCTCCTCATCTCCTCTCATCCCTCTCTCACAGTGAGGAAGAGCTCTGGCTGTAGTTTCTCAGGGTCAGCATTTCGTATTTGGGCGGAGGGGACGAGGACGGGGGCAGACACAAGGTGGACTCTGAGACCGGGGAGCCACTGCCTGACCCCAGCGAATCACGGAAGGGCGAGGGCGGGGTCAGATTCATTAGCTCCTCCTCCAGCTCTGCTCTCCTTAGAGGGGACTCCACCACCACAGTGAGGTGTCGCACCGGAGAGGGGGAGGCCTGAGGGTGAGTTAGGAGGCGAGGGTGAGGGTGAGGGAGACGGTGAGGGGAGTGTGGCAGGGGGTGAGCGAGGCAGGCGTGTCCCCCTACGTAGGACTCTACAGGGGGGAGGGGCTGGACGTCAGCGTATGTGGTCATGGTGGGGGGGAGGGGGATCTCCCGGGGTAGGAGGAAGGGGTCTGTAGGGTGGGAGGGCATCAGGGTGTGTGTGTGGGCATGTGTGTGAGAGTGTGTGGGGGACGGGGAGAGCATCATGCTGTTGAGCTCGCTGATGTTGGCAGTGAAACGGTTAACCACGCAGCTGATTTGATCCATCAGAGAACTGTCGCACACATCACCCCCGCCGACAGAACCCCCGGTCAGGTAGGTTGGTACGCCCATCACAAGTGGCTCCTCCCTTAGTCCCACCCCATGCAGGTGCTGGCTGACAGTACTGATTGGTGAAGGGGTCTGGGGCCGGTAGGTGATTGGGTATCTCTCCTCGGCGTATCTCTCCTCTGCCTCTGTGAGCTCGTACAGGGTCTTGTCTGCGTCAAGGTGGGAGTGGGAGTGGGGGAGGGAGGACATGTGGCGGGGCAGGTCAGCGCCCCCACTGTAGCGCCCCTCTGGGGTCTTGGAGAAAGGCTTGATGACAGCTGTCTGGTTGTTCTCCTTCCTCTTGATGTGGAACGACAGGCGCTGCCACAGGTGGTTCCCACGGGAACCCCGCTCCGTCTGGGCCCAGGATACTGACTTCCCATTGGAGCTGCAGAGACAGGAAACAGGAAGTGAAAACAGGAAATGAAACAAGTGTGTTTCAGCTGGTGCATAACAGTGTAGAAATCATTTTCTCTATTCCTCCTCTCCACCTTTAACTCCCCTCTCTGTCCTCCTCTTCTCTCTCTCCCCCCATCTCTCTCTCTCTCTCTCTCTCTCTCAATTGTCAGGTTAATTAGTGTGATTAATCTATAATGGAGCTTCTGATTAAATCATGCTGATGTGGCTAGGGGTGGGAGGACTCTAGTGAGACTCATATAACCTCAGCAAACAGACACCAACACAAACACACACACACACACACACACACAGAAAACAAGGGGAGAAAGATGGAAAGCGGAGGGGGAAGAGGAATATTTCTGACACATCGTATAATGGTCTGATTGTAAACTTGCTTGCCAAGCGAGACGGTAACCAGCTGACTAAAGAGAATGTCCTTTTCCCTTGTATTCTGTGGAGCAGCACTGTCATTTCATAGGGCTTCTTGATCATGTGGTTGTTCCATTAGAGAGAGGTTGACCTTTAGCTCGTCCTCTTCAACTTGTTTTCTATCTCCCTTTCTCTCTCTCCCCCCTCTCTCTTTCTCCCCCCTCTCACTCTCTCCCCCTCTCCCTTTCTCCTGGAAAGTTCCGTCTGCATAATCAGGTATGTGGGTCGGACTCAGGTCAGACAGAGAGACAGACTTACAGTGGCTGAGGAAGCATTGACTCAGATGGCCCTCATTGAAGTGGCCCTGCACTAAAAAGGCTGTTACTGAAACGGCCCTCAAATGAGATTCACTTAGCGACAGTGACCCATCACTGATCTCTGTGCCCTCCTCAGCTAAATGCTACCTCCTGTGTGACCCCACACAGGCTCGACAGGATCTCTCTGTATTCCCTGCTACACACACACACACGCATTCAAGCACACACACACACACCTGAGTGTCTCTCCGGCGGAGCCGCGTCGTCTCCAGAGGTTGACCAGGCTGGAGGAGCGGCTGGCGACCGAGGAGGACTTCCCGTCGCCCACGTGCATGCGCACCACCGTGCTCGTAGTGAAGGCACTGCGCACGTTACGCTCCGGCTTGGCCAGGATGATGTACACCTGGAGAGAGACAGAAGAGCTTCATAACCCTTCATAACAATATATAAGCACTATATAACACCTGTTATAACCCTTCACAAGCCCCTTATAACCAAACACAATATTCCAAAAAACATTCCTTTTCAAGTCCCTCAGTCGAGCACCTGATTCCTTTTTTGTTAAAGCGGAAGTTTGTTTCTATCTGTCCTGTGTGTCTTACCTTGGGTACGAACAGGCAGCAGAGCGCCACCGTGGCACTGAGGCTGACGCTGAAGCACATGGTGATGATCTTGTAGTTGGAGCCGAAGTAGATGGGGACGAAGGCCAGCCAGATGATGCAGGTGGTGTACATGGTGAAGGCGATGTACTTGGCCTCGTTGAAGTTGGCCGGGACGTTGCGCGTCTTGAAGGCGTAGAAGGTGCAGCTCAGGATCAGCAGGCCATTGTAGCCCAGCGGCCCCACCACGCCCAGGTTGGTGGTGTAACAGATGCGGTTGACCTGCCGGATGCTGGGGTAGTCGTGGATCACCTGCAGGTAGTAGAGACATCAGTATCAGCGCGTACATACACTGAGCGGACACAGACTGACCAAGTGAATGCAGGTAAAAGCTATTACTTCTTATTGATGTCACTTGTTAAATCTACTTCAATCAGTGTAGATGAAGGGGAGGAGACAGGTGCAACTCAATATTAGGAAGGTGTTCTTAATGTTTTGTACACTCAGTGTAGATGCTGTACAGTATGTATACAGTCAGAAAGTGGGTTTGGTCAACTGTAGAGGTGGAGGCCGTGTTGGCACCAGGGTTTTCACTTCAGCCAGTTCAGCAAGTAAATGTATCATTCACTTCATTCGTTAAGAGGCAGTCTCAGACCCTCAGACTGACAATTCCCTGCCACCCCCAGCTGACACACACGCACACACACACACACATACACACACCCAGCAGGCACAGCCTACCTGTGGGGGCTCCATGAGGAAGAGAGCCACTATGATGCCCAGCTGCAGCAGGATGAGTAGAGAGGCGATGACCAGCTGGGCGCAGGCAGACATGAACCTTGGCTTCTTAGTACAAATCTTCTTCTTACTGCCAGCCAGGATACGGGCTATACGGTTAGTCTGCAACAACAACAACAACACAGCCAGGATACGGGCTATACGGTTAGTCTGCAACAACAACATAGCCAGGATACGGGCTATACGGTTAGTCTGCAACAACAACAACAACACAGTCAGGATACCAGCTATACGGTTAGTCTGGAACAACAACAACAACACAGCCAGGATACCAGCTATACGGTTAGTCTGGAACAACAACAACAACACAGCCAGGATACGAGCTATACGGTTAGTCTGGAACAACAACAACAAGACAGCCAGGATACGGGCTATACAGTTAGTCTGCAACAACAACAACAACACAGCCAGGATACGGGCTATACAGTTAGTCCTGCACACAACACACAGCCAGGATAGCAACAGTATCTCAACACAACACAGCAGGATACGGGCTATACAGTTAGTCTGCACAACAACAACGCCAGGATACGCTATACAGTTAGTCTGCAACAACAACACACGCCAGGATACGGCTATACAGTTAGTCTGCAAACAACACACAGCCAGGATACGGCTATACAGTTAGTCTGCAACAACAACACACAGCCAGGATACGGGCTATACAGTTAGTCTGCAACACAACACAACACAGCCAGGATACGGCTATACAGTTAGTCTGCAACAACAACAACACAGCCAGGATACGGGCTATACAGTTAGTCTGCAACAACAACAACAACACAGCCAGGATACGGGCTATACAGTTAGTCTGCAACAACAACAACACAGCCAGGATACGGGCTATACAGTTAGTCTGCAACAACAACACAGCCAGGATACGGGTCTATACAGTTAGTCTGCAACAACAACACAGCCAGGATACGGGCTATACAGTTAGTCTGCAACAACAACAACACAGCCAGGATATGGGCTATACAGTTATTCTGCAACAACAACACAGCCAGGATACGGGCTATACAGTTAGTCTGCAACAACAACACAGCCAGGATACGGGCTATACAGTTAGTCTGCAACAACAACAACAACACAGCCAGGATATGGATTATACAGTTAGTCTGCAATAACAAACACGACAGAGAGAATGAATGAATTAATGAATAGACTTTATAGCGGGAGAGAAAGGGGAAATCTGTAATAATGACTTCAAACAGTCTGTTTGTGAGATACTCATGTCTAGATGTACAAGGACATGGTAGGTGAAAGAATCAAGGTAAAGAGGGGCTTGATGATGTACCTTGGTGACCAGGGCAGAGTAGCTCATGGCAGGGGACAGGCCTATGCCCAATCTCTGTAGGTAGCAGTGTGCAGCGTGGGGCTTGGCGATGAGACTGAAGGTACAGAGATAGCCCAGACAGATCCCAGCCAGGATGATGTAACAAAGCTCTCGGCTAGACGACTTCACCACCGGAGTGTCCCGGAACCTACACCCACACAGTTTATTTTATAACCTTATAACAAATATACTAACTTACAGTTAAAATTACATGTTGAAAACAATCCCAGTGCCATACCACGTTGGAAACAAGTGGAATTGCTTTAACGCGTTATCCCCTGGGTTGTATTTTCCCAATATATCAACCAACAACAGAGTAAAATCACAAAAGTTTGAATATGACATTGACTTTCACATTTATTATGTTAAAATCCACAAGTTGTTACCTGATGAAGACGGAGGTGACGAAGAATGTGGCACAGAGTCCCAGACAAGCAAAGACCACAGCAGCGATGGGCTCTGGGTCCCCCCAACGCAGGTACTCCACTGGGATAGGGTCACAGCCTGGAGGGGGGAGGAGGTGGAGAGAGAAAGGGAAAGCAAGAGGTTAAAAACAAACAGCATTGATACGTTTCTCTTTCTTTCTTTCTCTCTCTTTTTCTCTGGATTTAATTACCCCTCCTTTTTTCTCACCTTCACTGTCTCATGTGCCCTCCTCTCTCTCCCTCTCTTTCTCTTTCTCTTTCTCTTTCTCTTTCTCTTTCTCTTTCTCTTTCTCTCTCTCCCGCTGTCCCCCCACCCCTCCTGGGCTGTGAGACAAGTCTCATTAATTAAAGGGACAGTTCTAATTAGGTGCTGGTGTAATGCTAGCTGAAAATACAGCCCGGAACCGGCGGGTCAGTCCAAGACAGAACACCAGAGACGCCAAACCAGACAGAACACCGCCGCCACACTGCCGTTAAAATAGATGAAGTCATTTAACGCCTCTACCTTTAACACAGTCTATAAAGTTAAATTAATCAGTGAAGTAGTTAAGCTTTTAGACATCAACAGCGTAATTGCTGAATGGGAGTGGAGGTACCATTAAGAGAAGAAACAGTAACTCTGGAAGACACTGTTTACTAAAGTTACATTCAACTCAACTTTAGTCACTCAGGAACTTTGTATTGAGGCCTCCCCTGCTCCAACCTTAAATCAAATCCATTTCAATACATTCATCCAACTTTATTTTTTTCCATCCATCTGTCCATTTATTTTCTCTCTCTCTCTCTCTGTCGCTCTCTCTCTCTCTCTCTGTGTGTCTCTCGCTTTCACTCTGTCTCTGTCTCTGTCTCTGTCTCTCTCTCTCTCGCTCTCTCTCTCTCTCTCTCTCTCTCTCTCTCTCTCTCTCTCAGTGTGGCCCTTCACTAATGCAGGAGTGAGTTTGAGAGGTAAATGAAAATGTTTACTCATCGTCACTACAGCAGTTACAGTGCCGCCGGGAGCTACCCACAGCCACAGTCACACTTACTGTCCTGATGTAATGACTCTTCTACAGCTGCTAAACGTGAGCGCTTACTTCTCTCCTGTGTACTTCTCTCCTTTCCTTAAAGAGTTGCTGTAGAATACTCCAGTAAAGTGTGGAATCTGTGTTCGCAGCTGTGATGCATTGGGCTCATGTTTTAAACATTGGCGCTTGCTGGCTAGCAGCTGTATAATGATGAGCAGTCGAATGCATTACAGAACAATATCCATAGCTCCACTAAAATACATTTGCATAGACAATTGCCCTCAATACAGAATAATTAGTGCAGTGGTGACCATGCCAGTGTCAAATTAAGAAGAGAAGGAAGAGAGAGGGAGAGAGGAGGAAGAGAGAGGAGGAAGAGAGAGGAGGAAGAGAGAGGGAGAGAGGAGAAAGAGAGAGGGAGAGAGAGGGAGAGAGGAGGAAGAGAGAGGGAGAGAGGGGGAAGAGAGAGGGAGAGAGAGGGAGAGAGGAGGAAGAGAGAGGGAGAGAGAAGGAAGAGAGGGAGAGAGGAGGAAGAAGAGGAGGGGATGAGAGGAGGAAGACGAGAGCAGGGAGAGAGGAGGAAGACAGAGGGAGGAGAGGAGAGGAGAAGAGAGAGGGAGAGAGGGAGGAAGAGAGAGGGAGAGAGAGGAAGAGAGAGGAAGACGAGCAGGGAGAGAGGGAGAGAGAGAGAGAGGAGGAAGGAGGGAGAGAGAGGAAGGAGAGGGAGAGAGGAGAGAGAGGGAGGGCAGAGAGAGGAAGAGAGAGGGAGAGGGAGGGAGAGAGGAGGAAGAGAGAGGGAGAGAGGAGGGAGAGGGAGAGAGGAGGAGGAGAGAGAGAGGCCAGGAAAGACGAGATGGGGGGGGGAGAGAGGAGGTAGGAGCGGGGGTGAGGCGGAGTTGCGAGGAGCGATCCAGGTAGATAGCTGGAGGAAATAGTACAGATTCAGAGTCAGTATAGGTGACGGATGCTGGTTGATGCGTAGATTGTCTTCATCAGTAACTGAGGTAGCTACATCATTCGTGTAACTGTGACAGCATGCTGAGGAGCATCAGACAATCACTTCTCTACGAAGTTCCATTTATACTGTGACTGACTGACTGACACACAGACACACACACACACACAGACACACACACAGACACACAGACACGCACACACACACAGACACAGACACACACACACACACACACACACACAGACACACACACACACACACACAAACACACACACTGTCACGACTTCCGCCAAGGCTGCCTCCCCTCCTTGTTCGGGCAGGTTTCGGCGTTCGTCGTCACCGGCTAACTAGCTGCTGCCGATCCATTTATCATCACTCCACTTGTCTTGTCTAATTAATCACACACACCTGGTTCTTATCCCCAATTAGTCATTGTATAAGTGTTCCCTCTGCTTCCTTGTCTGTGTGTGATTGTTTGTAGTGAGCTGTGTGTAGCTCGGTTGAGCTACCCTTACCTTGTTGTTGCCAGGGTAGATATTTCCCCTGTGCCTGAGTTTTGTTGTCGCATGCTTGCGCAACTGTTTATCGATGGAATAAACTCTTTGGATGCGTATTACTCTCCTGCGCCTGACTCCTTCTATCACACGCATCACAGAATCACCCAACCGCTATGGAGTCAGCAGGAGAAGAGCGTGGATTCATGGCACGGGTCCAGGAGCACTCCACGATGCTGGCCAGCTTGGGGGAAGCGATGGATCGGGTTCTTCAGGTAGTCTTAACGCCTGGAGAGGAGCAGACCCGATCTGTCGAGACCAGCTGGCCAACCAGATCCAGCCACCTACACCCCAGCACCAGGAGGGATCCAGATATCCCGTCCACGGGCATTTGAGGGGACAGCGGCGCTGTGCCAGGGATTCCTCCTCCAATTGGAGCTTTACTTCGCCAGCATTAGGCCGGCACCATCGGAGCGGGAGAAGGTGTCCGTCCTCGTTTCCTGCCTCTGTGAAAAAGCCCTGGAGTGGGCCAACGCGGTGTGGAACGAAGGAGGAGCCTCGTTGGAGGACTACAGGGAGTTCGCTCGCCTCTTTCGGGCGGTATTCGACCACCCGCCCGAGAGGCGGGTGAGCGACTGGTCCACCTGAGGCAGGGGACGAGGACCGCGCAGGACTTCGTGTTGGAGTTCCGGACGCTGGCAGCGGGGTCCGGGTGGAACGAGCGGGCCCTGATCGACCATTTCCGGTGCCATCTGCGGGAGGACATCCGACGGGAGCTAGCCTGCCGGGACACCATGTTGTCCTTCAATAAACTGGTGGACATGGCCATTCGGTTGGACAACCTGCTGGCAGCCAGAGGACGTCCTGGTAGGGGTCTGCCCGCTTCCACCCCGGAAGACTCGGACCTCGAGCCGATGGAGCTGGGTGGAGCTGCCAGTCAAGAGAGCGGAGGAGGACAGCGACAGTGCCACTCTGGTGGCACGAAGGGAATATCCACCACACGTCGTAGTCAACGTTCTTTTAGGCCTGGAGGCGAAAGGCAGGGCTCTCACGCATCACCCCAGGTATCGAAACACCCACACTTGTTCAGAGCCCTCTGTTGTGCACTGTACACTACCTATCCACTTTCCCGATCACATGGTAGTTCCCCAGTGTAAGGCGCTAGTCGATTCAGGCGCAGCTGGGAACTTTATGGATAGGGCATTCGCACGCCGTCAAGGCATTTCATTGGTTCCCCTCTCCATTCCACGTCCCCTCAGAGCACTCGATAGTCGACCATTACGGTCCGGGTTGGTTAAGGAAGTCACTATACCAGTCACCATGATCACCCAGGAGAATCATTTTGAGCAGGTGATTTTTTCGATTATTGAATCTCCTGCTTTCCCTGTGGTATTAGGTATCCCTTGGTTAGCACTCCACAACCCCAACTTCTCATTGCCGCAGAGGGCTCTCAAGGGGTGGTCGCGTGAGTGTCAGGGTAGGTGTCTAGATGTTTCCGTTGGTGCCACCACGGTGGAAAGTCCAGATAGTACCTCCACAGTGCGCCTTCCCCCCGAATACCGTGATCTGGCGCAAGCGTTCTCTAAAGCGCAGGCGACTAAGTTACCACCTCACCGGGCAGGGGATTGCGCGATAAACCTCAGGGTATATGCTGTACCTCCCAGGAGTCATATATACCCCCTGTCACAGGCGGAAACGGTGGCTATGGAGACATATGTCACCGAGTCCCTGCTTCAGGGGTATATACGTCCCTCCACTTCACCCGCCTCCTCGAGATTCTTCTTTGTGAAGAAGAAGGACGGAGGTCTGCGCCCGTGCATTGATTATCAACCACTGAACAGGGAGACAATCATATTTAGTTATCCTCTCACCCTCATTCCTTCAATGGTTGAATCGATGCATGGGGCGCGCTTCTTCACCAAATTGAATCTCAGGAGTGCGTACAACCTGGTGCGTATTCGAGAGGGGGATGAGTGGAAAACAGCAGTCAGCACAACCACGTGGCATTATGAATACCTGGTGATGCCCTATGGTTTGATGAATGCTCCCTCAGTTTTCCAGTCCTTTGTGAACGAGGTGTTTCGGGACATGCTTGGTCGCGGTGTAGTGGTCTACATCGATGACATCCTGGTGTATTCCATTACTCGCACTGAGCATGTGTCCCTGGTTCGCAAGGTGCTGGCCCGACTGTTGGAGAATTACCTTTATACTAAGGCAGAGAAGTGTATGTTTTTCCAGCAGTCCATCTCTTTCCTTGGATACCGCATTTCCACCTCAGGGGTGGAGATGGAGGGAGATCGCATTTCAGCCGTGCGTAATTGGCTGACTCCAACCACGGTTAAGGAGGTGCAGGGATTCCTTGGCTTTGCCAACTACTATCAATGTTTATCCGGGGCTTTGGCAAGGTCGCAGCCCCCATCACATCCCTGTTGAAGGGTGGGCCGTCCCGGCTCCGTTGGTCTGTTGAGGCGGATCTGGCCTTCAGGAGACTGCTGGGTCTGTTCACCTCAGCTCCGGTACTAGCCCACCCCGATCCATCACTACCGTTTGTAGTGGAGGTGGATGCGTCCGAGGTAGGGATGGGCGCTGTCCTATCCCAACGCTCGGGCACGCCACCCAAGCTTCGCCCCTGTGCCTTCTTCTTGAAGAAGCTCAGCCCGGCGGAGCAGAACTACGACGTTGGTGATCGGGAGCTGTTGGTTGTTGTCCGAACTTTGACCGTGTGGAGGCATTGGCTCGAAGGGGCGAAACACCCTTTCCTCGTCTGGACGGACCACCGTAACCTGGAGTACATCCGGGCAGCGAGGAGGCTGAATCCTCGCCAGGCCAGGTGGGCCCTATTCTTCACCCGGTTTGATTTTACATTGTCATACATTCCGGGTACAAAGAACGTGAAGGCAGATGCACTGTCCCGGCTGTATGACACAGAGGAGAGGCCCAGAGACAACACCCCCATACTCCCGGCCTCCCGCATTGTGGCGCCGGTAGTATGGGCGATGGACACGGATATAGAGCAGGCATTACGCACAGATCCATCTACACTGGGCTGCAGTACGTGCCTGCTCTTATCCGTGATGATCTGATCTTCTGGGCACACACGTCACCCTCCTCTGGTCACCCAGGTATCGGTCGTACAGTGCGCTGCCTGAGCGGAAAGTACTGGTGGCCTACCTTGGTTAAGGACGTGAGGGTGTACGTCTCCTCCTTCTCGGTGTGCGCCCAGAGTAAGGCACCTAGGCACCTTCCAGCGGGTAAGCTACAACCATTACCAGTTCCACAACGACCATGGTCTCACCTTAGCATTGATTTTCTGACTGATCTTCCCCTCTCCCAAGGTAACACCACCATCCTGGTCGTTGTGGACCGCTTCTCAAAGTCCTGCCGCCTCCTTCCTCTGCCCGGTCTCGCCACAGCCCTGCAGACTGCGGAGGCCCTGTTTACTTACGTCTTCCGGCACTACAGGGTACCAGAGGATATAGTGTCTAACCGAGGTCCCCAGTTCATGTCCAAGGTCTGGAAGGCGTTCATGGAACGTCTGGGGGTCTCGGTCAGCCTGACCTCTGGGTTCCACCCCAAGAGTAATGGGCAGGTGGAACGGGTAAATCAGGACGTGGGTAGGTTCCTGCGGTCCTACTGCCAGGACCGGCCGAGGGAGTGGTTAGTGTTCTTGCCATGGGCAGAATATGCCCAGAACTCTCTCTGCCACTCCTCCACTAACCTAACGCCTTTCCAGTGTGTTCTAGATTACCAACTGGTTCTGGCACCGTGGCACCAGAGCCAGACCGAGGCTCCTGCGGTGGATGACTGGTTTTGGCGTGCGGAGGAGAGGTGGGATGCTGCCCACGTTCACCTCCAACGCGCCGTGCGTCGTCAGAAGGCCAACGCTGACCGCCACCGCAGTGAGGCCCCCGTCTTTGTACCGGGGGATCGGGTCAGGCTCTCGACCCGGAATCTGCCCCTCCGCCTGCCCTGCTGGAAGCTGAGCCCGCGGTTTGTGGGGCCGTTCAAAGTCCTGAGGAGAGTCAACGAGGTCACATATAGGTTATTACTTTCCCCTGATTACCGTATTAACCCCTCGTTTCATGTGTCTCTCCTTAGGCCGGTGGTAGCTGGTCCACTCCAGGAGTCTGAGGTGCGGGAGGTCCCTCCACCTCCTCTTAACATTGAGGGGGCCCCGGCGTACTCGGCCCGTTCCATCCTGGATTCGAGGCGTCGGGTGGGGGGCCTTCAGTACCTCATAGAGTGGGAGGGGTACGGTCCGGAGGAACGGTGCTGGGTCCCGGTGAGGGATATCCTCGATCCCTCCATGTTACGGAATTTCCACCATCGCCATCCGGCTCGACCTGCTCTGTGTCCTCCTGGCCGTCCCCGAGGCCGGGGTCGGCGCGCTGATGGAGCCGCGCGTCAAGGGGGGGCGGGTACTGTCACGACTTCCGCTGAGGCTGCCTCTCCTCCTTGTTCGGGCAGGTTTCGGCGTTCGTAGTCACCGGCTAACTAGCTGCTGCCGATCCATTTATCATCACTCCACTTGTCTTGTCTAATTAATCACACACACCTGGTTCTTAGCCCCAATTATTCATTGTATAAGTGTTCCCTCTGCTTCCTTGTCTGTGTGGGTGATTGTTTGTAGTGAGCTGTGTGTAGCTCGGTTGAGCTACCCTTACCTTGTTGTTGCCAGGGTAGTATTTTCCCCTGTGCCTGAGTGTTGTTGTCGCATGCTTGCGCAACTGTTTATCGACGGAATAAACTCTTTGGATGCGTATTACTCTCCTGCGCCTGACTCCTTCTATCACACGTATCACACACACACATAGACACACACACACACACACAGACACACACACACATAATAACACTAAGAATTTAACAGTGCTGCTGAAAGAACATGCCCTCTTTGCTGTCAACAAAAATGTGCTCCTCTGATGGAGAAAGATGAATTGTACAATTGAAAAAACACCATTATGTAAATGTACCCATATTTCATGTTTGTTTTTCTTTGTGTCTGTGTGTGTGCATTTGTGCGTGTGTGTGTGTTTCCAGGATGTGGGCGGGATGTGTGAATGAGTCAGTCTGTGGAGTTAACCTGTGTGATGGCATCTGATCCAGCTCAGCCAGACTGAAGAGATTCATTTAGAGGAGACTTCCAAGAGCAAAGAGGCCAATCCATACACCCTCAGTGTGTGTTTGTGTGTTTGTCTTTGTTTTTGTGTGTGTGTGTGTGTGTTACCTGTGAGGTGGAAGGTGGGCCAGGAGCCCAGGTCACAGGCTCGGCAGGTGTACTCATCAAACACAAACTCATTCTCCTTACAGGGAGTGCAGGTCCAGCAGCAGCTCACCTCTCCTTTACGGATCACCTGGAGGACACACACACCAGAAAAACACCCTCATCAGCTCAGGAAAAACCCACCAATCAGAATGCTGCAAAAATACTATCTTAGAGAGAATGCACCAATGAGATCGAAACATCAACAGAGATAATCTAGAAGGGTCCTTGTCATTGCCAGCCTTTCACCTCCTCCCTCCCTTCCCCCCTAGGGTGCGTTTCACCTTTATCTGTCCCTTGTCACAGGGTTCGCTGCAGACTGATTTGATGATGGTGTCCTTGCTGGCCCAGATTTCATCATCATCGATCTTCAGCCCACTGTTGTCCCAGCTCCCTACGTTAATGTAGTCATAGTAGTCCTTCCCCATCTTCTTAAAGTTCATGATCTCATATCTGACACAGACACACACACACACACACACACACAGACACACACACAAACACACACACACAGACACACACACACACACACACACACACACACAGACACACACACAGACACACACACACACAGAGACACACACACAGAGACACACACACACACACACACACACACAGGAGTCAGTACCTCTGAATCTATTGATACATACATACTAAGGTACAGAGATATATGGGATGAGATCACCACAGCCAGGTGACTCACTGCTCTTGTTATTTATGATGTCCTATTTAGACACACACACGCACACACGCGCACATATACACACGCACACACGCGCGCACACACACACACACGTACCGGCCAGGTGAGTCTCCGTTCTCGTCAAACAGGATGCCTTCTCCAGACACGCCTGTGAAGTTGGTCTTCATCAGGAAGTCCAGCAGTGTGGCTCCATCTATAGGTCGCATGGCATCACACAGCCCCTGGATCACCATCATCAGCATCATCATCATCAACATCATCATCATCATCATCATCATCAACACCATCATCATCATCATCATCAGCAGCATCATCAACATCATCATCACCATCATCATCTCGATGACAATATGAGCAATCCCAACTATAATCAACTATAATAGTGACAGTGGGTTGTGTTTAGTCCAGTCCAGTCCAGTAGCACCCACCTGGTAGCCTGGGCAGAGTGAGCGCTGCATGTTATGGAGCCCATAGGCCATGGAGTAGATGGCATTGATCACAAAGCCCATCTTAGTGTCCTGGGCATACTGCTGTCGCAATGACTCCCGCTCTGGGAGAGAACCAGAGAGGAGAAAGACAGAAAAAGAGAGAATGGGAAGATGGAGAGAGGGGAGGGGGGGGGGGGGGGGGGGAGGGAGAGAGATGGAGTTGAGGGGAGGGGGAGGGGAGGGGGGGGAGGGGGTGGAGGGAGGGGAGGGTGAGATGGGGGGGGGGGAGATGGAGGGAGGGGGGAGAGATGGAGGGAGGGGGAGATGGAGGGGAGGGCGCGGGGAGATGGAGGGAGAGGGGGGAGATGGAGGAGGGGGTGGATGGTGAAAGGGGGGAGATGGAGGGAGGGGAGGGGGGAGATGGAGGAGAGGGGGAAGAGGAAGAGGGAGGGGTGAGGGAGAGGGGAGGGGGAGGGGGGAGATGGAGGGCGAGGGGGGGAGATGGAGGGGGGGGTGGTGGTGGTGGATGGCGGGGGGGTGGAGGAGGGGGGAGATGGAGGGAGAGGTGGGAGATGGATGGCGAGGAGGGGGGTGAGGGGAGGGGAGGGGGGTGGAGGGAGAGGAGGGGAGGGGAGATGTGGGAGGGGGGGAGCGGGAGGGGATGGAGGGAGAGGGGGAGATGGAGGGGGGGAGGGGGAGATGGAGGGCGAGATGGAGGGAGGGGGAGATGGAGGGGGGGATGGAGGGAGAGGAGGAGGGAGGGGGTTGGAGGGAGAGGAGGAGGGAGGGGGTTGGAGGGAGCGGGGGGAGATGGAGGGAGGGGAGGGGGGAGATGGAGGGAGGGGAGGGGGAGATGGAATGGGGGATGGAGGGAGAGGAGGAGGGAGGGGGTTGGAGGGAGGGGAGGGGAGGGGGGAGATGGAGGGAGGGGAGGGGGGGTGGGGGGGAGATGGAGGGATAAGGATGGAGGGAGGGAGAGAAAAAGGAAGAGACCAATTAGACCAACCTGTATCTAATAACCTGTTCTGCCTTTATGAAACTTCAAACACCCTCTTTTCCCATCTCCTCCCACACCTCTCCTCTCTAGCCGTGGTTACACCTTGCATTAACATGTGGTTGTCGTCATCTGATCAAGATGATCCGAGATTTGTTGCGTCTACACATGGTAATAAACTGTGTATCTTATCTGCCCACTTCGTCCGTATTGCGACCAGATTCCCTGGTCCCTTCCTGTGTTGAAATTAATCCAACCTGCCTTGGACCTCCCATTATGACACAAGCTGTATAAATCGACAAAAAACAGCACATTTTTATAGTCAATAGTTATATACTTTCATCATTACAACTTACTTTTGTTATCCAACGATTTAAGACTGGGCCTAATAGTCTACTGTCCTGACTCTTTTAAGCTACGATAAGTTACTGTCCCGATAACCTCAACCTGTCCACAGCCAATAAATATTCACAGAATCTCTCCCATCCCTAAAAAAGTCACCACACAAACGATCTGAGTATTTGGATGTGTACAAAATACAAATAATACACAGTAGAAATAAAAATGCCATTTAGGCTCTAAGGCACACAGTAGAAACAGAAACAGGTTAAGTTACAGAGTAAGCTACAAAGTGCATCTCTGAATGGTGCAACACATTATCCAAACAGGTCTGGACAGGGTTGTTCTTTAAGCATGGATGTTTACATACCTTGTCTTTACATTATTGTAATCTTGTATTGTAAATAAGGCCTAAACAGCACCATAGGAAGAAAAAAAGTGACATACTGGGAGAACATTTAATCTGTTCTTTAAAGGTTCCCAGAATGTTTCATTAGGTTGTGGAAACAGTCTGGTGGGAACATTGTGGGGACATCACAAAATATATGTTCCCAAAACACAAAAAAGCTGTACAGTTGGAGATTCTTACAGAAGATTCTCAACATTCTTACAATATTAAAGGATTGTCCTTTGCAACCTAACTTAAACATTGTATGAATGTCATAACAACTGAACATATTTTGTGTTTTGGGAACCTACAGTATCTCTTGCTTAGAATTCCATGGCATTATTTTATATTCTTTTATAGTATGAAGAATACAATTGAACAAAGCTGAATAAAATAGAAAATGGCATGGAATTCTAAGCAAATTTTGTCTGCTAAATGAACTAGTGTAGCCCACAGCCTTATGGCATAGCCAGATCAGGGCCTAACATAAGGACAACTCAGAGGATGCTATTCTGTCATTTTTTCTCAAAACGATTTGAAGGAATGCGCACATGCGGCTATTCTGTGTTGAGCGGTTAACAAAGAAACAGGTACTCCTATATGCTTAATTTAGAGTTATTTATGTAACTTTAGTTGTGATACAAACGTTGGGCTATATGTTTAGATTTTTAATACATTCTAAGGCTGCATGATGCGACTCTAATGATGATTTGAAAAAAGTCACATGAAAGGCATGAGCTCTGCTTTGTTTTTTGTGCAGGCTGTACACACTTCATCTCATTCACAATTTGACAATCACTTGATAATGCCTTCGAATTTCCCGACGGCATCCCCTTTGTGTGGCTGTAATTCCCCCTAAAACAATCCATGCCTTTTGTGGACAGTGGCCATTGTGCCCTTGGGCTGAATATAATAATTATAATTCCCTTCTCCCGGCTGCGTGCTCCGAAGAACCTCTGACTCACATGGCTCTCTCAGATAGCTGAATTCTTATTAGCCAATGCCCGTCACGTGATCTTTTTCACAGGCTACAAGTGAAGACAGACACATCAGGGACGCAACTGCGTACATTCTTATCCAATTCCAAGGTGCATGTTGAAGATATTGGAAAAACTGTCCACATTTACTTTTCGTCAGCCAACAAGACGAGTCGGCCTAACGAACAGCAAAAGCACTAGCCTATGTACAAAAGTACAAAAGTTGACCTATTCTATTCTGTGCAAGAAATAAATATTCCAAACATAGTCTGGGACAGTTGTGGGGATGGGATAGATCCCAAATTAAAACAACCACTAGCTTCAAAAAAACGTTTTTAAGCAATGACGCTGACGCAACAGATCAGAATGTTTAGCTTCAAACTGTTGATAAACTATTAGGCTAATTCTTCACATTATAAGCGCAACAATGTGCACACGGCAGTAGGCTATAAGCACGAATGTTCCAAAATGCAATCAATTAGCGTATGTATGCCAGTTAGGCTCTACACCCATTGTAAAGCAAATTAATGTGCTTAATTTTAAGAAGTTATTTGGCCACTTTAGTTGTGATACAAACCTTATCAAAACATATAGGCCTATGGGCTAGGCTACATGAGGTGTGCGACTATGATTTGAAAAAGTCGCAAAAAAAGGCATGCACTGTTTCTTGCTTACTGCACACAAGCTGGGCATCATTCACAAGTGATTATATATAATTCACAAGTGATAGGTTAATATTGTCACCCATCAGACTATTCTTGATTTAATCTTGTCTTTACATTACTAAATAATATATGTGTGAAATTAGTTTTGATTTAGAATGGACCATTATCATGCACCTGTCTCGAAACAGCAGCAGGGGAAAAATACATGTAATCTATGCACTTAAATAGCGAATGGAGGACGGTTTTTCCGTGGTTCATTTTCATGCCAGCCAGGTAGGCTATACTCCTGTTGTAAAGAGAAGCAATGTGCTTAATATTAGGAAAGTTGAGAAATAAATATAGTAGGCCTAGCCTATAGAAAGCTGATGGGTTCCTCCTCTTTTTAATATAGGCCATCACTCTGTTTTCTCACGCAATTGCATAGCCTATTGAAATGTTGCACAACATGAGCTCATGGGCTCTTATGAAGTGTTTGATTCGATTTTTCATTAGATTTGCATTGATTTCAGAGTGATTATAGGGACAATAGAGTGCTGAGTACCAGGCAGTTAGCAAGTTTGGTAGGCTACTAATGATCATCAGCAGCATTAGAGCTTGGAGAAGCCTAATTACTGTGACTAAACGTGTAGCTCAGTTGGTAGAGCATGGCGTTTGCAACACCAGGGTTGTGGGTTCGATTCCCACAGGGGGCCAGTATGATTTTTTTTTTTTATGTACTCACTAACTGTAAGTGGCTCTGGATAAGAGCGTCTGCTAAATGACTAAAATGTAAATGTAAATGGCATTTGACTGCCGTGTGGCGGTAACACGGTCACCGTAACAGCCCTATCAATGATAGTATCTAGGCCTATATAACATTTGTGAAGTCATCAACAGCTGTTGTTTCAATTCAACCCCAGGGTTCAACTAAAAATAGACAATACATATAGGCCTAGGGTTTCAAGCTGTGGTTGAAATGTAATCTTCAAGTTAATCATGAATATGTTGGATTCACGTCTCCATTTCAACCAAAAATCTAAGTTAAAGAATAGTCAAACTTTATTTAAGGTGCATTTAAAGTTTGATTTAGTCCTATTCCTTAACTTTGATTTTTGGTTGAGAATTAAAGTCAGACTAAGTCAGTGGCATCTCCTTCAATTGTTGATATTTGGTTGCGTTGACAACCAAACACAACTCAATATCACTTTTGCAATACAGTAAATAGCATATTAACTTGTCGACAAGTTAACAAATTATATGTTGGATTCACATCCCCAACTAAACCAAAAATATAAGATAAAGCCAGTGGCTCAGATTAAACTGTCCAAGCATTAGATACATCTCCTAAATGGTAATATTTGGTTGCGTTGTCAACCTAACACAATTCAATATTACTTTTGTAATACAGTAAATACCCTAAAGTTAAGGCTATCTTATAAACTAATGTAACCATTTTTATGCAACCTTAAAATGAGTAACACATCCATGGCCACATTTTGAGGTTACTGTAACTATAAAAGTCTTATTATGTAATCATAGAAAGCGTGCATGTTCAAGATAGCATGCAAAGGTCGCAGGTCTGTGGAGATCTTCGCAATATAAAAATCAGCATTGATCACTTGCACCATGTACTTTTAATGGAATCTCAACTACAGTCCAGGTCATTTCGTTGTGCTATTAGATGAAGCACAGTGATAACACATTAAGTTATTGTATAAATACAAAATATCTGACATTGTATTCCCATTTGATCTTTTTTGTGCTTTAAATGGTTGAAAGTGCAGTGATAACACTTTTTGAGTGAGTGAATAAAGATTGAAATCTCATTGATCAACGTCTCAACCAAAAAGTACCCACATTTCCACATTGAAATGAAATGGTGTTCCCAGTAGGATGCCTGGTCAAATTATGAAAATGCACGGATAAAAGCGACAATCAATCAAAAGTACAAAGGCGCACATGTGTAAAGCAAATGGCTTTATAAAGAAATAAAGTGTCAATCTAAAAGTAGCCTAAAGAGTTCTTCGTATTGAAGCCTACATTATATTAGACAGTGGCCTCGCTCATGCTTTCAGAAAGCTATGCGCCATTAAGCATCAGTTTGGACATATTCTGCACTGTATTGCTAGCTGGAAAATGCCAAAGATTTACAGAATATAATATAAAATATTAAAATCGAAAAGGATTGCATTTTAACACCAATGTATTATTTTCATATCTGATATAGCAACTTAAATAGAGTGTGAATAGCCCATCGTTCATTATACCTTGATCTAAAGGTACAGGGGAACATTAGACCTCCACATTATACCTTGATCTAAAGATACAGGGGAACATTAGACCTCCACATTATACCTTGATCTAAAGGTACAGGGGAACATTAGACCTCCACATTATACCTTGATCTAAAGGTACAGGGGAACATTGGACCTCCACATTATACCTTGATCTAAAGGTACAAGGGGAACATTAGACCTCCACATTATACCTTGATCTAAAGGTACAGGGGAACATTAGACCTCCCACATTATACCTTGATCTAAAGGTACAGGGAACATTAGACCTCCACATTATACCTTGATCTAAAGGTACAGGGGAACATTAGACCTCCACATTATACCTTGATCTAAAGGTACAGGGGAACATTGGACCTCCACATTATACCTTGATCTAAAGGTACAAGGGGAACATTAGACCTCCACATTATACCTTGATCTAAAGGTACAGGGGAACATTAGACCTCCACATTATACCTTGATCTAAAGGTACAGGGGAACATTAGACCTCCACATTATACCTTGATCTAAAGGTACAGGGGAACATTAGACCTCCACATTATACCTTGATCTAAAGGTACAGGGGAACATTAGACCTCCACATTATACCTTGATCTAAAGGTACAGGGGAACATTAGACCTCCACATTTATACCTTGATCTAAAGGTACAGGGGGGAACATTAGACCTCCACATTATACCTTGATCTAAAGGTAACAAGGGGAACATTAGACCTCCACATTATACCTTGATATAAAGGTTACAAGGGGAACATTAGACCTCCACATTTATACCTTGATCTAAAGGTACAAGGGGAACATTAGACCTCCACATTATACCTTGATCTAAAGATACAGGGGAACATTAGACCTCCACATTATACCTTGATCTAAAGATACAGGGGAACATTAGACCTCCACATTATACCTTGATCTAAAGGTACAAGGGGAACATTAGACCTCCACATTATACCTTGATCTAAAGGTACAGGGGAACATTAGACCTCCACATTATACCTTGCCATACACTTGTCATGGACTGTTCTCTTCTGCTGCGGCTCCATAATAGTCCGTCCCATGCCTCCCCAATTTATTTGTAGTTCAGTTAAAATTCTACTATTACAGTCCTTGGCCTTTCTGTAGCTTACGATGTTTTTAAATATTAGATTTTGCGCTGGATTTGGACGTGGGAACGGGAGAACCCTTTTTCTCTCATTTGGGACGATCTCTCATAAATATCTTTATTTCTACATGCCCATTTTATTCAGAGCTGGATGCGGCATTGGACTGTGGCATCCGACCACAATGCCAGTAGACTCTTGGTTTCTAATGAAGACCATGATCCTAATCCAACTGGCCAGCGGGATTGTTTTGTTGAGAGGGTGGGACATTGGCCAAATGTATACGTTTTCATAGTCCGGATTTGTTTACACTTCAAGGATGTCTGTACAAGATGCATCTTCGACTACCTCCGGATGTGGTCGGGTAGATCTAATCACAATCAGATCACAATGCGTCTTTTGATTGTCTACACCTGTTGACAAATTTGGGCACAATCAGAATGTGGACAAGATCAGGACAACGGACGCATGTTTGAACCAGGTATAAACGGGGCTTCTGTCTCATCTTGTTCAGTTCATTTTCATTAGAATACATGAGTCCTTTTGAAGCAATCACACCGGAAGTTTTACATATGAATGGTGCGAAAGAGAGAGAGAGAGAGAGGGAGGGCGGGGGTGGGGGAGGGGGAAGCGAAAGGGGGGGGGAGAGAGAGAGGGGGGGAGAGAGAGAGGGAGGAGGGGGGAGAGAAGAGAGGAGGAGAGAGAGAGAGAGAAGAGGGAGGGGGGAGAGATAGAGAGAAAGAGAGGCGAGAGAGGGGGGGGAGGAGAGGGAGGGGGAGAGATAGAGAGAAAGAGGGCGAGAGAGAGAGAGGGAGGGGAGAGAGAGAGGGGGGAAAGATAAGAGAGAAGGGGGCAAGAGAGAGGGGGGGAGAGAAGAGAGAGAGAGAGGGGGAGAGAGAAGAGAAAGGGGGCAAGAGAGAGAGGGGGAGAGAGAGAGAGAGAGAGAGAGGGAGGAGAGAGGGAGAGAGAGGCGAGAGAAGGAGGGGGGAGGGAGAGAGAGAGAGAGAGCGAGAGAGAGGAGCGAGGAGAGAGACTTTGGACATAAAAGAGATGTTCCAGGTGTACTGGAAGGAGGGGGTGTCTGAATGAAAGGGTGATCTAAAGCTGCCTGCTCATTTTATATTAGTTCTGGAGAAACATGGCTCTGTGATGCCTCTGTGATTAGCAGAACTATAGCCCTGCATGAAAGTACACACACACACACACACCACACACACACACACACACACACACACAGAGAGAGAGAGAGAGTGCCCAGCTGAATATGCAGATATATGAATGAACAGAGGAGTGAATGTGGCGGCAGGCTGAATGAAAGAGCCTCTTTGTCCAGATGTGTTGAATGGACTGGTCCGATCTGAGAGCTCCACTCCTGCCTGACGTCTTACAATCATATCTCTCCATTCTCTACTTCATACATCCTTTGACGTCATCATTGACGCCCACAAACACACCTGGTTTCCAGAACTGTGTGTGTGTGTGTATACTCACTGTTGCAGGTGCGGTTGTACTTGGGGCTCTCCTGTGGGTGTCCCTTCAGCCTACAGTGGAAGCGGTGTTGCCAGAACTCAGGGAACCAGGGGTTTCTCAGGTTGTTGTCCGGCCGCAGCTTCAGGTAGTACTCATCAAACCACTTCACATCAGCTGACTGCAGCTTGATGGTGATCCCCCCCGCCGCCTCGCGCACGTACCCATCCGTCACATCGTACCGGTCCGCCCAGCCATCACTGAGACAGGGGACACAGGGACATAGAAGTTAGAAACGATGAAAAGAATGTTAGAAACATAACGCAGTCACTGGAAAACAGGAACATTGGTCTTTGGTTCTGGGAGTGATGTGTCTGTTCCATACACAAGGCCTAAAGGGGTCCACTGGTTGGCGTCTTTGGTTGTTTATGTGCGTCTGTACTCTGTCATCATTTTCTGCTGACGCAATTCTTTATCTGTGTGTTGAAGTTGAAATAAAAATTGGAGAGTGATAACTTTATTTTTGGTTGCATTTCAGAGAATTTGCTCTCCTTTTGTGTCAGGCAGAAACCATAATAATAATAACCAGTTTAAAACCTGAAGGCATCTAGACAGCCCAGTCACAAAGCAGAGCCCCTGAATGGTGCTCATCACTGGTCCCAAACTGTAGTTATGAGTGAAAAGCAGAAGCGGTGGTGAAGGAGGCAGGAGGGGTAACCAAGGGCAGCTACACTATTCACCAGCAGAAACACAACCGCTCCGCCTGCCTCTCACACAGAAAGGAAAAAGAAACACACACACATACACACACATCCAATGCTGTTACACATTCTCTCTGTATTAAGCCTTCACAGTGTTGGCGGCTCACAGTGTGTGTGCGTGTGTGTGTGTAGGCCAGCTGGAAGGCTTCTTATTGTATTCAATTACATCTTTCTGTAGAGAGGTGAGAAGGACTAACACACTCACTCCATAAATAATGAAAACATTTATATCAGACTGACCACCTCTGCTACTTCCTCTCACCTCAAGGACACACACAGAGAATAGAGAGAGATGGAGAGAGAGACAGAGAGAAAGGGAGAGATGCTTTTTTAAATTATGAGTGAAATTCCATTTTCATCAAATTTTTGCCAAAACACACAAACACAACGCATATAAACATATAAATGCATACACACACGCACGCACACACACACACACACACACACACACACACACACACACACACACACACACACACACACACACACACACACACACACACACACACACACACACACACACACACACACACACACACACACACACACACAGCCAAGGCCACTGAGAGAATCAAACCAATTTTATTTTATTTTATTTGTCACATGCGCCGAATACATCAGGTGTAGACCTTACAGTGAAATGTTTACTTACAAGCCCTTAACCAACAATGCAGTTTAAGAAAAATAAGTGTTGAGTAAAAAATAGATAAGTAACATTTTTTAATAACAAATAATTAAAGAGCAGCAGTAAATGCTGTTTTGGCTCACAGCCTGACTGCCAGGCCCTCCCAAACAACAAACAACAACAACAACAACAACAACAACAACATCAACAACTCCTCATAGACAGACTCCTGCCAATAGATGTAAATCAAGATTCATCTCTATACTCCTGCCCCTCCAACACACACCACACACACACACACACACACACACACACACACACACACACACACACACACACACACACACACACACATTGACAACCAGGGGAGGAAAGTGGGAGGTGCTGTTAAGGGTATATGTATGCATGTGTGCTTGGATTGTGGGCAGTGGGCCTATAGTTTGGCAGGGTGGCCAGATGGCATGTTTGTGGGCATGCTGACAAGAGCCCAGCCCTGGCTATGGCAGATCTATAGAACATGAGGGTGAAACCACATGAATGTAAATTCCAGTCCCTATGATAGAGCACTGTCACAATCCAGTTAGACAGATGGAGGAGAAGGGAGAGATGGGGAGGAAAGAGAGAGAGAGAGAGGGAGGGAGGGAGGGAGGGAGGGAGGGAGGGAGGGAGGGAAGGAAGGAAGGAAGGAAGGAAGGAAGGAAGGAAGGAAGGAAGGAAGGAAGGAAGGAAGGAAGGAAGGAAGGAAGAAGGAAGGAAGGAAGGAAGGAAAGGGAAAGGGGAAGGGAAAGGAAAAGGAAGGAAGGAAGGAGGAAGGAAGGAAAAAAAGGAAGGAAGGGTTTTTAAAAAACAATTATGTAGTAGCCAAACGGGCATGATTAGTAAACATGTATATCATGTATTTATGATATCAGTTTAGTATTCCTGATATCGTATTATGTATTCCTAATACAGTTTCAGGTACATAGTTTTCATGGTTCCCCAAATCAGTATTTTATGTATATAGTTTTATTAATTTAGATTCATGTAATCTATACATGTATTTATGGAAAAGTATTCTGTTATAATGTATATAGTATTGGGTCCAAAAATTTATTTAAGTATATCATGTAAAGTATTCATGTATATAGATAAATGTATACATGTTTCTGTTTCATGATTCCGTTTTAACCATTTATTCATGTATATCATGTATTTATGTATTCCTGTATATCAAGTATTCCCGTATATCATGTATTCATGTATATCATGTATTCATGTATTCATGTATATCATGTACAGTATATCATGTATTCATGTATTCTACTCATTCCATACAGTGGCTTGCGAAAGTTTTAACCCTTCCTTGGCATTTTTCTTATTTTGTTGCATTACAACTTTGAATTAAAATGGATTTTTGGGGGGTTTGTATCATTTGATTTACACAACATGCCTACCACTTAGAAGATGCAAAATATTTTTTTTTGTGAAACAAACAAGAAATAAGACAAAAGAACAGAAATCTTGAGCGTGCATAACTATTCACCCACCCAAAGTCAATACTTTGTAGAGCCACCTTTTGCAGCAATTACAGCTGCAAGTCTCTTGGGGTATGTCTCTATAAGCTTGGCACATTAGCCACTGGGATATTTACCCATTCTTCAAGGCAAAACTGCTACAGCTCCTTCAAGTTGGATGGATTCCGCTGGTATACAGCAATCTTAAAGTCATACCACAGATTCTCAATTGGATTGAGGTCTGGGCTTTGACAAGGCATTTAAATGTTTCCCCTTAAACCACTCAAGTGTTGCTTTAGCAGTATGCTTAGGGTCATTGTCCTGCTGGAAGGTGAACCTCCGTCCCAGCCTCAAATCTCTGGAAGACTGAAACAGGTTTCCCTCAAGAATTTCCCTGTATTTAGCGCCATCCATCATTCCTTCAATTCTGATCAGTTTCCCAGTCCCTGCCGATGTTCTCGGGGTGATGAGAGGTGTTGGGTTTGCACCAGATATAGCTCAATTTTAGTCTCATCTGACCAGAGTACCTTCTTCCATATGTTTGGGGAGTCTCTCACATGGCTTTTGGCAAACGTGTTTGCTTATTTTTTTCTTTATGCAATGGCTTTTTTCTTCCTTGCCTGGTTCGTGAGTTTTGGTGGGTGGCCCTCTCTTTTTAATAATGGATTTAATGGTGCTCCGTGGGATGTTCAAAGTTTCAGATAGTTTTTTATAACCCAACCCTGATCTGTACTTCTCCACAACTTTGTCCCTGACCTGTTTGGAGAGCTTCTTGGTCTTCTTGGTGCCGCTTGCTTGGTGGTGCCCCATGCTTACTGGTGTTGCAGACTCTGGGGCCTTTCAGAACAGGTGTATATATACTGAGATCATGTGACAGATCATGTGACACTTAGATTGCACACAGGTGGACTTTATTTAACTAATTATGTGACTTCTGAAGGTAATTGGTTGCACCATATCTTATTTAGGGGTTTCATAGCAAAGGGGGTGAAATACATATGCACGCACCACTTTTCCGTTAGTTATTTTTTTAATTTCACTTTACCAATTTGGACTATTTTGTGTATGTCCATTTCATGAAATCCAAATAAAAATCAATTTAAATGACAGGTTGTAATGCAACAAAATAGGGAAAACGCAAGGCACTGTAAATTCTAGATGTGTTCCTACTGTACATGATCACTAACTGTTCTTTCAGTTGTCTGTGAACCAAGCAACATCCCCAGGCTTCAACGGAATGTATGTGTGTCTTCTGTGTAATTCATGAGGCATTGTAACACTGGTATTTCTCAATGATCTGTCTCTCTCTCTCTCTCTCCTCTCTCTCTCTCTCTCTCTCTCTCTCTCAATTCAATTCAATTCAACTGAAGGGCTTTATTGGCATGGGAAACATATGTTACAGTTTTTCTCAATTGCTAAAACACTAAAACCCATTGGCTGAACAAAGTTCTCAGTTGCCTGGACTCATTTATCTAATTATGCAGTCTGTTGTCAATACCTTAAACCATTTCACATGGTAAAACACAATTTGCAGATCTCACTTAGACTTTTCAGCAAAACTCTAAACACGTTCTCATTCTCAAAACACATTCTGCACTCTAATGCACATGTCATCCATACCGGTAAACACAAGTGGCAACAATCAAATACAAATAGAGAACACATGTCATTGACTGAACACAACCACTCAAAATTGATTTAACCTGTTTCAAATGATGTGACACAACCAATATAAGGCAGTTCAGAGAGCAAACAGGTTGTTGAAGGTGGGAAGGAGAAAGTCTGAGAATGGAAAGAAGAAACAATGTGAGAGGACGAGGACGAGGACGAGGACGAGTGCGTATGTGAGGTGGGCGATGAAGAGGCAGAGGAGGAGGAGGGCAAGAAAGAGGAAGAGGAGGACGAAGAGGAAGACAAAGAGTGGAAATATCTGATGAAATTCGACCAATAGTCATAGACCATGTTCTTGTCCATGGACTGACAATGAGGGAAGCAGGGACTTAGAGTGCAACCCAATTTGAGCCGATGTTCTGTGTCCACCATAGTAAGGACATTCAGAGAAGAGAACAGGTACAGTATACTACTTTATTTTTGTAATTGCAAATTTACTGTACTACACTATATGCAGCTGGTTCAATAGACATTTGTAAAGTTAATCACTGTATGTATTGTACTGCATGAATATGTTTTGTAACTGCACAACTACTTTTTGTAGAATTGCAAGGCTGCCATATGCAGGTGGAAGGACAGCTATATTCATTCGGGAGCAAGAGGCCGTTATAGTTGGCATGGTCCTTCAAGATAATGCAATACGACTCAGAGAAATCCAGGAACGAGTGATACAAGACAACACACACTTCCAGGGAATCGACAGTGTGAGCATTTCCACAATTGACCGTGTCCTCCATCGTAACAGGATGCGAATGAAACAAGTATACAGAGTACCTTTTGAGCGCAACTCACCAAGGGTGAAAGAACTGGGAGTTCAGTATGTGCAAGTAAGTGTACATTCAGAAACATCAATGGGCAGTTTAAGAACTTGTACCTCCCTCCATACTCACCTTTCCTGAATCCGATTGAGGAGTTTATCTCCTCTTGGAGATGGAAAGTGTATGATAGACAACCCTACACCAGAGTAAATCTGCTGCAAGCCATGGATTTAGCCTGTGGTGATATATGTGAGGAATCATGTCAGGGCTGGATACGGCACACAAGAGGCTTCTTCCCCCGTTGCCTCAGGAGGGACAATATAACTTGTGATGTCGACGAAGTGCTCTGGCCTGACCCAGCCCAAAGACAAGACGTAGCACATTGATCACATGTTTACTCCTTTGATTTTTGTCCCTTTTAGTATTGTATACTGTAGTACAGTGCATTGTAGGCTGTATACTGTACAATGGACAAATTGTATGGCCCTGAACATTGGGCTTTCCATTTGTTAACAGTACTGACTGCTCAATAGATTTTGACTGGTTGCAGGTTCATATCAACAAAGTATAAGAATTACAGTATCACAGAGACAAAGGACAAGTTTGTGAGATGCAGGGTACAGTACTATAAAAATAGGGGTACAAGGAGGAGGAAGAACAAACAATTTTGAGCTACTATGATAGAACATGTTTTCGTTCATCAAAAGACAATGATGGAAAAATATGAAATTTGTTTTGAGATTAAAAATGTACTTCTCCTTGAGAACTGTATGTTTTGAACAATGTATTTTCTATTTTTCGGTGTATTGTTTACTGACTGCTTGAGAGTGTATATCATTTTGATCACTTTGTTTATGATTTGAGAGCAGTGTTTGATTTTGAACACAGGTAAAACTGTTTTGAGGCGAATGTTTCATTTTGCAAGAGGAGTCAGAGGTTTTGTAAATAGTGCTTGAAGATGAGGTTTTGTGTTTAATGTTTTCAGGAAATTGAGCAAGGTTTCAGAAATTGTGTTTTAGCAATTGAGAAAAACTGTAACATTGCCAAAGCAAGTGAAATAGATACATTGCCTTGCAAAAGTATTCATCCCCCTTGGCGTATTTCCTATTTTGTTGCATTACAACCTGTAATTTAAATGGATTTTTATTTGGATTTCATGTAATGGACATACACAAAATAGTCCAAATTGGTGAAGTGAAATGAAAAAAATAACTTGTTTCAAAAAATTCTAAAAAATAAATAACTGAAAAGTGGTGCATGCTTATGTATTCACTCCCTTTGCTATGAAGCCCCTAAATAAGATCTGGTGCAACCAATTACCTTCAGAAGTCACATAATTAGTTAAATAAAGTCCACCTGTGTGCAATCTAAGTGTCACATGATCTGTCACATGATCTCAGTATATATACACCTGTTCTGAAAGGCCCCAGAGTCTGCAACACCACTAAGCAAGGGGCACCACCAAGCAAGCGGCACCATGAAGACCAAGGAGCTCGCCAAACAGGTCAGGGACAAAGTTGTGGAGAAGTACAGATCAGGGTTGGGTTATTAAAAAATATCAGAAACTTTGAACATCCCACGGAGCACCATTAAATCCATTATTAAAACATTGAAAGAATATGGCACCAAAACAAACCTGCCAAGAGAGGGCCACCCACCAAAACGTATGAACCAGGTAAGGAGGGCATTAATCATAGAGGCAACAAAGAGACCAAAGATAACCCTGAAGGAGCTGCAAAGCTCCACAGCGGAGATTAGAGTATCTGTCCATAGGGCCACTTTAAGCCATACACTCCACAGAGCTGGGCTTTACAGAAGAGTGGCCAGAAAAAAGCCATTGCTTAAAGAAAAAAATAAGCAAACACGTTTGGTGTTCGCCAAAAGCCATGTGAGAGACTCCCCAAACATACGGAAGAAGGTACTCTGGTCAGATGACACTAAAATGTAGCTTTTTGGCCATCAAAGAAAATGTCTGGCGCAAACCCAACACCTCTTATCACCCTGAGAACACCATACCCACAGTGAAGCATGGTGGTGGCAG